CTGTTCCCCTGGGTACAGGAGTGTACACATTACTCCCTGGTATCTATGTTATGTGGGGTAAGGAAAAGGAGAACAAATGTCTATCTCATAAATGTGAGATTACAACCTCAAAGCAGTTTTTTAACTAATGTTGCCCTAGTTTAGCTTTCCATCAGTTTACTGCTTGCAAAGCTTATGGTTAGTCTAAAAATTATCTACAAAACAAAGGTAGAATGCTAGGATTCTGCTGATTTTACTTTAAACTGAGTATGCTGGGATCTTTCTAATTTGAATGGGTTTTAAATATTGCAAGTTGTTATTGTTTGAATATTACAAAAAATTATTCTAAATTTGTATGCTATTGATATTGTAAGCTATTGATAATGATGCCTTATTGTCCTGGGCCAAAAAACAAATTAAAACATTGCTGCATTGGTATGCCATAGATGTGCCTTGGGCTTGGGAAAATAACCTTAAAAGACACCGTACAGCACCAAATCTTCTTTTTTTTATTTTTTTTTAATCATCCAAAAATAGATTTCCATTTCTATTTCAGGAAAACCTAATAGAAAGTACTTTAGGATCCATACAAGTTAGAAATGGGAAAGGGATTGTCACTGCAGGACTGTTCCACATGGTACCTTTTTGCAGTCCAGTATTATACGTTTTGAATGTTTGCTTGATCGACGTTGCTACAGTTCTTCCTTGCACAGTCTTATTCCTGTTTCTGCCATTTGGATACTGAGAATTTTGTCTACAGGACAGCTCCTGAGCAAATCTCGGTTTATAACAAACTGGTTTTGGAGCTGCTGCATTTTTCCAGCATTGATTGGAGAGGTTCAGAGCTTTGAATGGCTGTAAGCAGACTGACTACTCTGATCCTGATCCATGATGTTAGAGACTACTTGCCAAGGCTTCTCATACATAGTGGGATGGAGATTATCATTTTAGATGCGCCAAACCTGTATTTGAAGCAGGGGAAAGGATACAATACACGAGTATCAAGAGAAGAACCAAAAAAAAGGAATGTATGTAGCATTGTGTACCTGCTGGTGATTCTGTTACAGTCGAGACTTTTTTTTTTATCTAAAAGCATCACAAAATTCATAATTACTGAAAGGTCAGAGGTGTTTGCCCACGCAGGACTAAGATGCATATGAGTCCTTGCCCTCAAGGCCAGAAATACCTGTGTGGCTCAGTCCTACAGAGCTCCTTAACTCTGTCAGCAACAAGAGGAAGATCAGGGAAAGTATGAGTCCCTTACTGAATGGGGGAGGCAACCTAGTGACAGATTATGTGAAAAAGGCTGAAGTACTCAATGCCTTTTTCACCTGTCCTCACAAGTAAGGTCAGCTCCCAGACTACTGGACCTGGGAGCACACTTTGGTGAGGAGGAGAGCAGCCAGCAGTAGTGAAGGAATAGGTTAGGGACTGTTTAGAAAAGCTTGGCATGTACAAGTCCATGGGGCTAGAGGTGATGCACCCAGGAGTGCTGAGGGAGTTAGCCAATGTGATTGCAGAGCTGCTGGCTATTATCTTTGAAAACGTGTGGTGATTGGGAGAGGTCCCAGATGATTGGAAAAGGGCAAATATAGTGCACATCTTTAAGAAAAGGAAGAGTGAGGATTTGGGGAACTACAGACCATTAGCTTCACCTCAGTCCCTGGAAAAATCATGGAGCTGGTCCTGAAGGAATCCATTTCCAAGCACTTGGAAGAGAAGGGGATTAGGAACAGTGAATGTGGATTCACCAACGACAAGGCATGCCTGATCAACCTGATTTGCCTTCTATGATGAGATGACTGGCTTTGTGGGTGCAGGGAGAGCAGTGGACATGATAAAACTTGACTTTAGCAAGGCTTTTGATCCAGTCTCCCACAATATCCTTGCCAGCAAGCTAAGGAAGCACAAGTTGGATGAATGGACTGTAAGGTGGATAGAAAACTGGTGGAACCCCCCAGGGGTCAGTCTGGTTTTGTTCAATATCTTCACTGGTTAGGTTTCAGCTATAGTACTGTGACCAGATTTGGGTGCTAATTATAAGACGGATGCAGACAAACTGGAGAGGGTCCAGAGGTGAGTGGAAGAGATAAAGGGATTGGAAAGGAAACCATATAAGGAAAGGTTGAAATTGCGCTTTTCCAGGCTAAAAGTTGACTCGGGGATGACCTGATGGCCACCTATAAGTTTATCAGGGGTGACCACCAGTTTCTGGGGGAATGTTTGTTCACCAGAGCGCCCCAAGGGATGATGAGGTTGAACGGTTATAAACTACTGCAAGACTGTTTCAGGCAGGACAGTAAGGAAGAATTTCTTTACTGTCCGAGGCCCTGAGGTCTGGAACAGCCTGCCATCAGAGGTGGTTAAAGCACCTACATTGAACACCTTCAAGAGTAGATTGGATGCTTATCTTGCTGGGGTCCTATGACCCCAGCTGACTTCCTACCCTTCGGGTGGGGGGATGTACTCGATCTTCTGAGGTCCTGTCCAGCCCTAATGTCTATGAAATCTATGAAACTTGGTATTTTTCATCTGGAGAAAAGGAGTTTCAAGGGGAAGTATGATAGCACTTCTCAAATATTTGGAAGGCTGTCAGAGAAACCTTTTCTATCTTACCACAGAGGGCAGAACATTTGACAAAAGGTTTAAACTTCAGAAAGGCAGATTTAGGTCAAATCTTAGGAAGAGCTCCCTAATGTAATGAAAGAACAAAGTGCCAAGGAAAGTTTTGAACCTTTTCCATTAGAGGTTTTCAAAAAGACACTGGAAAGATCCATTTGGCAGTGATTTAGCAATCTTTGCAAGGGGTTTAACTAGATGAAACTTCCAACCTTGAGGTTCTGTATATTGTTCATGCAAGCTTAGCTGATCCCCTGTGCCTGGCATCCCTGCCACGACTGCTGGGTGAGGTGGAGTTTGGATACAATGATTTAAACTGAGTGGGAGGGGAGGAGAGCCCCTTGGGAGCTCTCTTGGAAGCCCTCAGAACAGCCCTGGGTGCATTTGCAGATCCAGGCCTACCCCATGACTTGTGTCAACAATCAGCTGGTTGTTGGCACTGGCCCCGAGAGCTGCAAGCTAATAGGAGACCTGGGGCTGTCCAGGGCTTATTCTGACAATGCGCTGATTGTTGGGCATCAGTTCCAGATGGCTCTGGTGTGTAAACCTACCATGCATTCAGTTTAATATGCCATACAAACCAGCCCAAATGTTCCACGTGTATGTGGAATGTTTTTATGACCAGGTTGCCATGTTGTTATGGTATCTTAAAGTGGGTCTAAGTGTAGCACTGTTGCCATTAATAATCATGCTGTTAATTATGCCATAAATGCAATGTGTGCTAGGGCCCCAGGATCACACTTTCATTTTATTTAACCGTACTTTGTAGTTGCCACTTCAATATGGTGTCATGTCTCACTTGCATGGCTGCAAATTACGTTGAGTAAAAAGTCACCAACTAATGATCGTTTTGACTTGCCTGTTTGTCTAGGCTTTTTGGTGTGAATTGGCAGGATATGTAGTCAGACTGTGTTGACTTGGTATTTAAAAATATTTTGTGTGAGAATATAAATATATTTTCTGGGTTATTTTCTGGTGTTTTGTTAGTAAACAAATTTTGTTTGGTTTTGTGCTAACTAGCGTGAGGTTTGCTTTGGATATATATTGTCAAGTGAAACCATGCATAGAAAGACGAGAAAGAAGGTTGGGAAAGTCTGTCTTCCCCTGTATTAAAAGAAGTGACTGTGGATGCTGAAGCAGTTAAAGAGCTTGCCCTGGGTTAGAGGAATTTTTAGGCCGTGTGAGAATGTTAATGACCATTCAGGGCATGTCCATCTTACGTGGCCTCTGCTGGCATAGTTATGTCTGTAGTGCCCCCCAGTGGAGATGTACCATATGTTAGTAGAAGGAGTTTTTCCTACTGGCATAGATGAGAGACCCTGCATCTCAACAGAATGAGATATGCAGGCAATACTTCTTTTCTTCCAGCTAAACTGCATCTTGTCAGCTAGGAAATGTGACTTCACAATTCTGGGTGGTGCAGGTCTGGCAGTAGAATCTGTAACTTGTCTTAATTCTCTCTGGCATGTACTTGGTTCAATCGGTTGCAATTTGGAGTAACTTATATTCAGTTGATGATTGGATACACCATCTAAAATGTATTTTCACATTTATATTTTCTTTACAGGAATGAACTGGAGCGCCAGTTCCTCGAGTTGTTACAATTCAACATTAACGTTCCTTCCAGTGTTTACGCCAAGTATTATTTTGATTTACGTTTCCTGGCAGAAGCAAATAACCTGAGCTTTCCTTTGGAACCTCTCAGCAGGGAAAGGGCATACAAACTTGAGGTGAGATGCTTTTGCTTCATGTTGCAGCAGAACGGGAGGCATTTTGGGGAGGAATTGTTTGTGGTTTGGGTCTTTTATAAACTATCCTGAAGGAAAATTTAAGAGCATCATATTCCTCTAATTTCATTACTCTCCAGAATTGTTCTGCAGGTGCTGCCGTTGTTTGTGCCCTATGGAGAGGTTTTTGCCTCCGTACATTTCAGCTCTTGCTTGTTGTTTTATTTTTTGTTCAGTTCTGACAGGGTGTTTCCAGGACAGAAAAGTCTATATCATGTGGGCTTGTGCTTGCAAAAGATCAGTAGTGGTTTTTAACTGAGCACCTGAAAGTACTGATGATTTTTAGGTATATATTGAATTGACTATGATAGGCTGTATACGTTTAACAAAGTTATTTCCTTTCGTTATTGTTATTAATTATGGAAATTTGTATCCATTAGTTTTGCAGAAAAAATGAAAACATCAAGATAGGAATACTATTGATAAAGATGGGTCTTGTTAATTTTTTAGATGTCTATTTCTGATAATATACTTCATAATCTGTTGGACTAGTATGAATTTTATATTTGCATCAAAGAATGTTGTGGTGATAATTTGGTACATGCATTTGCTAAATATTTCATGCATACAAGATAGAACAGCTGAATAAATACATACCTTTTCATTTTGATCATGAGTTCTTGGCTGTTTGGCAGCATTAAGAGGCAAAATGCTTGTAAGCTGTACAAAGGAGGAAAGGGAGCTGAACGTAACCAAAGTAGTTCATATAGGCTGTGTCCAGACGAGCACAGCTGTGTAGTATGTGGCACTGCAGACACATTTGTGGCACCACGTACTGCGGTTGCACCTGTTCTCCGCACTGCAAGGGAGGAGTGCTGTGCGAGTTTTTTGATCCCTGGATATCCAGGGGTCAAAAAAACCTGAACAAAAAGAAGAGGGGCAGAGCATGCAGCTCAAAACCAGAGTCTGGTCACCTGGAGCCATGCTCCAGCTGTTGTACACCAAAGTTGCGGTGGTATTAGATCATCTGGGAATCTGGCAACTTGAATTATGATGTATGTTGTAAGACTGAATACACATTAACTTGTTGTGTAGTTGATAGAATGACTAGTCTTCCTGTGTAAAATACTTGTAGACAACAGGCTTACTCAGCCTGGAATTTCTGCATTGGGATCTCTCTCCAGCTGACATTGGGAAGAAGCTTTGTCCTTGATTAAATTAAAATATTCCCCCCCCCCCCCCCCCAAGATGTAGGATGTCAGGCTTCATGTTGATTGGAGATAATTTAATCAATCTACCCAATTGCCAGTAGCCATCTTCTGACCCCAGCATTAATACTTATTTTTCTGTTCCTCCTTTTTCCTCAAGTTAAGAAGATTCCCACTCCCACAGGCTTCCTGGTGTCCAAAGCATTGTTCTGCTGCTATTTTTCTTTTCCTCCATCTGTTCTTCCAGACCACAGATTTCACACCTCTTTTTCTGACCCCCTTTCAGGCTGTTGATATCTTTCTGGTACAGAGATGTCAGATCTGAAAATGGTTTGCCCACATGTACTGGCAGTAAAGCCATAGATAGCCATGGTTATTACTTCCTTGCACTTCATAGTGATTCAGCATATGCAGCCAAAATTTGCAGTGGCTGGTGCTTTTTTACTCCTGCCAATGACATCTTGGCCAGAAGCAAAAACCCAAATTAAGGAGCTGTCTTCCAGACGTGTACATTTATAACAGTAGAGAGGGGAGGGAACAATGCGTTCCAAACTCATTGCTTGCATTAGTCAGGCCCAACAAAAACAGTTATGATCTTATAAATCATGTATCGTTTGTTACAGTTCTTGTTACACTACTGTGGGTGGGTCTCATTGCACCACTGAAGGCATCTATTTGAATACAGAATCCTGCTGTACAGCTCTAACATTAAACGTTAAGGGAACGGAAGACTTTGGTAGAGTAGGATGAAACTAGTTAAATCAGCAGCTGAAGGTTTCAGGGGGATATGGAATAAAGGAAATCACTAATTTTGTTTTTACCCTCTGAATCTGTATGAGGAAATTTTACCATGCCCACATCCAAAATGTATTTTCAAAGCAAATTTTATTGTTTAAAAAAATCTCCATTTTTACAAATAGCTACAATGGCTCCAAGAGCTTTATAAAAATACAGGTTAATATTACTACCAGTTAGAATAGATTAAATACTAAGTTCCACATGCGTAGGAAAGCATCGCTTTACTAAATGCAAGTTATGGTTGGAGTTGCTGTATTTTTTAAAAGATGCCAAATGCATTGTCCATTCCAAGCAAGATTTAATTTGATCTGACAGAAGGCCATGAGGGGAATTTTGCCATCAGACAGGCAATATTGAAATAATTAACTTCTATAACTGTTGGTACTTTTCCAAGGAGTATGGATTGTTTTGGCATCCTGATGACTTTGTGCTCCATCTCAAAACCACTTACTGGCCAAGTTAGTCCTTGTTGCATGATTCATCGACTTCGGCCATTTGGTTTTGAATCTGATTGAATGTATCAATTTGTAGTTTAGTTCATATATACATACAAATGTATAAACCAGGACTGTCCATCTTCAGTGGGGCTACATGTGACACTGCTGTGTAACCTTAGGGGCCAGGCACCATGTAAGTTAAATGCTAGGAGGCAGGCACACCTGTTAATGCAATTATAAATTATGTACCGAAGGTAAAACTCCTACTCGGATCCTGGAGAGGGGTCTGATTGTGTGTAGGAACACGCTTAAAATTTACCACCAGAAAACCTTATTCGATCTTACATCAGTCTGTTTTAAATTTGAGCTACCTAACAAATTGCAGTAGGGTTAACTGTTGTTGTTATAGCCATGGTGGTCCAGAGAAGCAGGGTTTGTTTTATCGTACTTTTTATTGGATTAGCTGTATAGTTGGGAGAGATGTTGGACAAGCTTTTGGCACAGAGCGCCCTCCCTCAAGTCTGGGGATAATTGCATGTTGCAGCTAACAAGTAGGAAATGGCTTTCTCTTAAGGTTGTTTAGTTTTGCCCTGTTGTGTGGTGGGATTGACCAAAGGACAAGGAGGCCTTTTAACTTGCCTACAGTCTCATGTCTAGCCAGTTTCTGTTCTCATGATCTTTGTCAATGCAAAACTGTTTCAGTTCTTGAACACTTGTCCTACACATCTTTACCTCCTAAATTTTGCAGGAGAGAATGAGAGGAAAAATGATCATAATGAAGAGATTTAGATATTTTCATTGCATTGTTTTATAATAAAAAAGTGCATGTACATTGAAACTAGTATAAAACACTTAGTAAGCATCCTGCTCTCTTAGGATACCACCTCTGTGTTGCCATAATTGAGTGGCAGTACCATTGTGCTCCACTTTTTATTAGATCATGTACATTAGGCAATATTATTGGCCCCCTGAGTGACTGCTTAAGTAGACATTCTTCTCGGTTACCTTCATGCACAGATAAGTAATTAATATTCTGGCCTGTGAACAAAGTGTTGAAGCAGTGTTTTTATGGCCATAGAACAGGGGTGGGCAAAATACAGCCTGTGGGCCAGATTCAGCCCACCAGGCCATTCTGTCCTGCCCATGGGGCCCCTAAAAAATGTAGAAAATTAATTTTTATCCACCCCTAGCTGCCTGTCAAAAATGACAGCAGCCGGGGCAGTAGGACCCTGCGGAAATCACAGCAATATGGCTTCTGCAATAACAAAACTCATCTCGCCCACCCCCTAGCCAGAAGCCCCTGCCTAGCTGGGGCTTCTGGCCTGGGACTCTGGGGCTGTTTGTGCCTCCCTGTGCTGGAGTGGGAAATTCAGGTCAGATGGGGGTGTGGGGGCAGGGGGGAGTAGAATGAAGCAGGCGTGCAGGAACCATGGGGCCAATGCTGGTGTCCCAGAGCCAGCACCGGCAGGGCCTAGAGTGGGGCAGCAGAAGCACAAGGCATAGACTGCCAGGGGTCTATGGAGCCGGGCTGGGCTGTGCCAGCAGGGAGAGGGGAACTGGCCTGGCTCCGTAGAGCCTCTGCCAGCCAAAACCCTGCACTCCTGCTGCCCTGTTCTGGGCCCTGCTGGCACTGGCCCTGGGGCACAGGCACAGGTCTCACATTCCCATCCAGCTGCTGTGCACCTGCTCACTCCCAGCCCTGCCTGCCCCAGCCCAGCTGTTGTCACTGCCACTCAGCCCAAGGGGCAACCCTAAGCTGGCACAGGGCCTAGGCTGAGTAGCGGCAGTGGGAAGCAAAGAGCTGTTCAGCAGGGGAGAAAAATGGCCACCCTCCTGCTGCCAGTTCTCCCTGTGGCAGCTGCTTGGAGCCCATGTGAGGCTGCCTGTGCTTGCTCTCCATTGCCACTGTTGCCTCATGGGGTGCTGGTGGAGAGGCAGGACAGCCCCATGTGGGCTCCAGCTGGTTGCAGTAGGGAGCTCTCTTGGCAGGGAAGGGAAGCGGTGGGGGCTGTTTGTGGTCACCCCCGCCTGTACTGCGGGGCTGGGGCAGGTGGGGCTGGGAGTGAGCAGGTGCGCAGCAGCCAGACAGGAGCATGGGGCCCCAAGTCCACCACAGGCAGGGCCCAGAGCAGGGCAGCAGGAGTGTGGGGTTCTGGCTGGCAGCA